TTTATATATTATATTATATTATTATAATATTTATAATTTATATATATATATATATAATATTACATATTATATCAATATTATATACATGTTTTATATTTATTTTTATATTTATTTTGCTTACTTGCTTGAAAAGCTGTGCACACCCACCTTCTGTGGTTTGCAAACCATGGCTTATGGTGAATGAACCCAAATGTGACTGATTCAAAAAGCTATGCTTAAGGAAACCATTTCTTAACCTGTTGCCCAAATGGAGTCTTGGATTTTGTATCTTTTAAATAGATATTGGACATGTAGCAACCACCACAGAGAAGTGGCCTCTAGGCCAGCAAACCAAGGTGATGCCTGGTGCTGGGTGTCTCCAGGGCCGTGACTTTCCCTTCCCCTAATTCTTTACCTTAAACCAGGATTGGACAGGACTCCATTTGAGAGAGATGGCTACTGTCTCTCTGAACCCACAGACACCTTTAAATTAAACCCCATTTATTTATGCTGACTTTGAGCATTGCAACATATTGAACCACATCATCTTAGGCTTGACTTCTACAGGATTCTCTGTAGTCAGAAGCCCCACTGCGTTCAAGACTTAGCCACGTGTGTAAATTAGCTCTTTAGGATGCACTCTTAATTTACAACTTCATTTGTGTCTAAAAACAAGCATCATTCCGTCTAGCGAATTTCCAATCCTATGCCTTACTTACAAGCGTGCCTTGCTGAGCGCAATAGGACATCCTTCTGAGCAGAGTTGCATGTGGTTATTAGTTATACAGGCCTCTGGCTGTACCTAAAATAAACTTTGTAGCACACTGAGGCAAATACCTTCTTTTGAACCCAATATACGCTGTGTCAGGCTTCTCTCGACAACTTGAACTCGAAATAGGCACAAGGACGCAAGAATTCCTGGTAAGTGTATTTATTCCAGGAAAGTTAATGAAACCATTATGAAAGAATTCCAATGACTGCTATGTTCCAAACGCAAGCCCCGTTTAGAGTGAAATCAAGCTCTTACACTTCTTTTTCCTGTCTGCATGGTATCTATTGAGTTCGAAGACCCGCTGTTTTGGGTGGGAGGAACGATGTCTACCTTTCTCTTGTTTTCATGTAGTCTGACCTCCTGAAAACTAGCTTTTCCAGGCTGTTTTGTTTTCCAGGTGGTAAAAGCATTTGTGGTTTTGTCCCCCGACTTCATCTCATACGACCCAGAGAAATTAACACGGGAGCTGCAAGACCACGTCAAGAAAGTGACAGCACCGTACAAGTACCCACGAAAGGTGAGTGTTGTAACAGCTTGACCCTGAATAATACAGAAGCTGGCTCTGAAGGGGGAGCAGTTTCCATGAAAGAGCACTGTGGCCTTTGCAGTCCATCAGCACTTTGGCTGCAAGAGTAAGCTATAGTGAAAAGTGGAATTTTGCATAATTTAACCAGAGAACAGCAAAACTCTGGTTTAGCCGATAAGTTAAGAGAGGTGACTTGCAGGTTATTCAGCCTTGGAACCAAGATTGCAGAGACCTATTTATGCATGGTGAGGTTTTATAAGGCCTTGTACACTGAAAATACTGTATATACAGAATAGATTCTACTTACCCATAGTAGCTTTGTGGGAGAAAAGTCTGCAATACCTCTGCCAGATTAGTTATCAAACTGGTATCACTGCAAAGGAAAGATGGCGTCATCTCCTTCAGCAAAAACTATTGCATAATTACTACTGTAAAACTGGATCCCATTGCAAAGAAATCTTCCTTCCTTTTTAAATTCTTTTTCTTCATTTAATAGATGTTTAAAAGCACAACCCAGAAAAATGAAAACCAAATATATTTTACGAGCTGTATAAACCTGAGTAAAAATTTCAAGGGAACGTTAGAGGAGTGCTCTATAGAAAAATGATCTAAACCATGATTAAAGTCAAGTCGATATTCAGTCATTAACAGAAGAAGCCAGCATAATAATGGGCGTAAACCAGCTTTGTTTCTTCAGCTGTTCGGGCATCATGAAATGGTCCACAGGGGCTTGAAGAAGAGCGTTCGCAGCAGCCTGAAAAGTTAATGTAAAGTTTTGAACTAGTTTTTAAAATGTAGGGGCAGGTTTGAGTTTTAAGGAGCAAACTAAGAAATAAGCCCCAGAGATATCGACTGCATCAAAGAGGTCTTCAAAAAGGGAGCTGGTTTTTCCGGTCTCAGGGATGTTTTAACGAACAAAATGAACGAGAAAGATTAGGCACATTTTGGAGAAACCCATGAGTATGTGAGGTGGAACCTCCAATTGCAAAAAAGTATTCTGCTAAAAAAGAAAAACATTGTTAGGAAATGGATGTAGCCATGCTGGCTGGAGATTATGGAATTTGAACCCCAACGTTCTGTTGGAAAAGCCCTTTTTCTTTTCCAGTTTCACTCCTTGAGTAGCTAGAGAACTTACTCCAATCTCCCCAACTTTAGAAGGAAGTAGATATGATTTTTCTTTTTCTTTTTTTAATTTCATAAGGTGGAATTTGTACGAGAGCTGCCCAAAACCATCAGTGGCAAAATCAGAAGGAACCAACTGCGAAAACAGGAGTGGGGTCAAGTTTAGTTCTGCGTCGACCTCTCGATCTCGCCGCCATTCGGAGCGAGGTCAGCCGGCAGATCTCTGCAGAGATGAAATTAGATTTGAAAAGCTGAAAGCCGAGCAGCCGCCTGGGTCTGGTTAAGCGTGCGGGTCCCGAGGAGCACTCCGGTTGCTAAAAGAAAATAGGCAAATCAATTCCAGAGAACCTCATTTTCTGAGCAGACTGTTTTTGTCTTCGGCTGACACCACACTCCTAGCCAAGGCTGTTCTGGAGGAAAGCATTTACTCCCTCGCTTAACACTTTTTTCTTAATTTCTGCAAACCTCTGGGTTTTCCAAAGGATATCATTATTCCCCCTTTGGTTTCTAAGTGGTTTAAAAAAAAAAACTTTCCACCTGCATTTGTTAGAACCTTAAGATTCCTTTTGGCATGGCAATCAGCATTTGCTCTGTGTTTCCAGCAAAGCTGCAAACAACTCTCTCTCCACCTTCTCTAAGACCTTTCATTTTATTTACGGACGCAGATCAATAAAACACAATACAATCTTTAAAATACAGAAACGCCACAATCTTGAATTTTGTCTGTCCTAGATAGCCTCTTGCAAATGGTTACGGCTGGCGTTAAGTCGCAAAACAGGATATCTTATGCACAAATAAATGAAAATTTCTTAGTCTAAGGTAGGCTGCTGGTTCACCTTGCTAGATGTCTTAACTAATCAAGTAACTCAAAGTTTCTACATTCAAAACACCTTGTTTTTGACCGCAAACTGGACTCTCTCAATTACTTTGGACGGGCGTTGAGGTCACAACACTCCCAAATCTATCAAAACTGTCCATTTGGCCATCGAAACATGCCGGCTGGGGAATTCCAGGGGTTGAAGTCCACACATTTTAAAAGTTGCCAAGTTTGAAATACACTGCTCTAGATTCTCCTATCCTTTCTGTGGATATATAGGAGATTTTAATCCTACAAAGCAGATACTCTTGGGCAGTTGCTGCGGATAGTAGTAGGCGAGTAAATGAGCCAACACTGATCTGTTGCTTTGCATGCTGATTTTAAAAGGCACAATTGCTCCCATCAAGGCTGATCATTTATTTTCACACATCGAGTCTCGATTTTACAAAAGGCAGGGCAGTAAAATAAAAAAAAGAAGAACATGTGTTAGCCAATCTGTTCCAAACCAAAACAAGGTCAGTTTAATAGAAAACAATGTACAAAAAAGGAACACCACATACAAACTGGAGAATATTATACCCCTGCAAAAGATTTTATGCTGTGAACATTTATTTTCAGACAAGAAATTCCTCACAGAGAAACAAAAGTTAAACTTGCTCTGGTTTTTTTAAAGGCAGTAAGGGCGAATGTTAGCAGACTCCCTCATTTCCTCTCCCTGACATTCAAACAATAATTATGAGTTTGGAGCATTAACATCTCTTTCTAACGATGTAGCTGCAAATAGGGCATTTTTAACAAAATAAATATTTTTCCCCAAAGCCCCACTCGGTTAACATTTTACAATTTGCTTGAGATTGTGTCTCTACAAGTAAACCCATGAACGCTCTCATACGCTCGATCTTCACCTGATGCTAAAAGAGCCGCAGGAGGAACCTGAAAATCTTCGCTGATCAGAAGCAGCACCAGAGGACTACTCTGCCTATTCTCGTAGATTGAACAGCATCTGGCAGGATAGAAGTAAAATTTCTGGCCAGAGAAAGCAGCTGAGAGAAGGGGCCAGATCCCCAGGACCACAGAGATGCCTGCTCAATGGGGGTGGGACATACAGGGCTTCTCTTCTCAAGCGATGCTAGACTTCGCATGAGGATGCTGGCCCATTAACTAGAAAACTGCTGGACGATGATCACATGAAATCTGGCAGTAAACAGCTCCCATAATTTACTTGGGAAAACTAGGATTTGGAAACACAAAGCTGTTGAGGATGAAGAGAGTTAACAACTGCCTTCCAAAACTATAAGCCAATAGGCCATGTAGCCTTGTTATCTCTCTACTCCTGAACGAGGAAAGTGGGGGGGGGGGGGCAATCATGATGATCAGCACAAAACAGAAAAGGTAAATTTTAAAACAACCATTCATGGGCCAACTTTTCTCCTCTATTATCAGCTACTTCTACTCTCAACTCCAGTCATGGTTTAGGGACTATCCACTCTGCCTGCCATCCACCCCGGCTGCATTTTTGCTCGGTAAATTTGAAAAGCCAAAGCATGGCTCAACGCCACAACTGAAAAAAAATGTTTTCATCCTTTCGCCAAGGACAGAACTCATACAGGGCACTGGGTCGGGGATAGGCTAGCCACAGTGTCAGCCACTAGCCAGAGGGTGAGCCACGATTATCTATTTTGCATGTAACACTAATCCCTAAGGAATGGATTCACGCCTCGTGCAAAGTGCGAAAAGCAACACATCATGGTTTGTAAAATGAATTGGGGTAGGCCTTTTTCATGTAAACAGGATCAGCCATTATCAAGATGGGGCCAACCAATGTTATCTGGCTATAAACCACTATGTCATCGATGTTCAGGTGTGGATTGGAACCCCAACTCCAGTAGCAAATGGAGCATTTAAATATTACTTTAACCCAGCAAGGACCAGACTTCAGGCTTGCTGAAATCGAAAAGGGGATAATGGTTTTACGGGCATTTCCATTTCATGGCTCTCAGCAGAACTTTACAAGGAAAACTTCCACTGGGTGGGAGTTGGCTTGGATGCTTACTGGCAAAGCAGGTTTGGAAGCAGGGCTCGTTTCCCGGTTCCTGCTCACTCTGACACATCCAATTCTAATGTAATAGCAGTTGCCCAACAAATCAGGGTATTGGGGGATCGTCCAGAGCAGATTTGGGAAAAATGGGGTGGGGAGGGAGGAAAACAAGGGGTTCCTTGAATGAAAACTCACTCATGCATAAGGCAAGATGACACTCTATGGGTTGGGAAAGTCGTGGCCTGCGTCGTTCAGCTGGAGCCCCCAAGGATAACGACTGCAAACAAGGCAAGAATGGTGGGGAAGATTGTCTGAGGCATAGCCTTGAGCCAAACTGTGCTTTAGCCAAGTCACCTAGAGTCTTAAAAGACCTTTTAAAAAAACAGACACCGACCACTGACTTAACAGCCAGCCCCCCTACAGATTTTCTTTTTTCTTCTCAGCTATTTCATTCAGGGTCCTAGTCCTCATGATTGTCGTTAGAGGTGGTCTCGGTCTTGTCTTTGTGCTCGTTTTGGTTTTCCCTCTGGGCTTCAGATGGTTTGGCTCCTGACGAGTCGTCCTCTTGGGATCCTTTGGAAACCCCTGGCTGCCCCTCGGTTTTGCTTTTCACCACCTCCTGAAGATTGTACTTTCGGAAGAGAACGTAGTCCTTAACCACACTCAAGCAGCAGATGTTCTTTATGATCTCCACCACAATGGTGAATTCGGGGTTACTCAGGTCAACCTTGTTTTCTGGGTTGAGATGGCCCACTATGCCTGCAAGGCGAAGATGAAAAGAAGGCAAGAAAATGTTGCCTTAATTTAATTTAATTTAATTTAATTTAATTTAATAAAATTAAAGGAATCTTTTTCTTTTTTTGTAACATGTTCTAATTTCTTATCTAGTCTTTAGTTTGTCAGTCTTGCTTTTTTTCCTCTGGTTCTATTGTTGAGTATCTTTAAAAAGGGGAAAAAAGAAGAATGGGAAGGACATCTCCTACTAGTCAGAAGTAAAAAGCAGTATTGCACCACAGTGGCTAAGACGGACGCCCAGGCTAAACGGTCAGCTCATCCACAAATTCACAATTTGGCTTTTAGCAAGCCACTGCGGCCTCCCTTTCGGCCACTGATCACCAAGGTGACAATAAGGTTAAACCCAACAGAACGGGACCCAAATCATGATAGATGTTTCAGTATTAAGTATCTCATCCTTCCACCCAAGGAGTTGGTTGCAGACTGAGGCTACAATCCCATTCAGATCTACCAGACAGTATATTTTAATTTCAGCTGTCTCCTGTCATTATGAGCAGCAGTATCAGGGGGCGTGGGTGGGTGGGAGACCTACCCTAAGAGAAAGCAATCACAGTTTGCCGTTTTGCTCAGCCTTCCCCGCTTACCTGCCAGTTCTTTTATGACTTCTTCCCGGCTCAGGTGGCTGTTATTTCGCGCCTTGTAAACAATCTGAAAAGTGCCCTTCTTGGGGCTTTTAAACCAAGATTCAAAAAAGGTCTCTGAGTATCGCTTCATCTCCTCTAGGAAGGCTTTGCAGGTGCCCGAAACAGGCAGCATGCGCAAGATAACCCTGGTTTTCTTCTTTTTGGTGGCATGCATGTCTTTTAGAATGTGGTGCACCAATTTCTCGGGTTCTGCAAGGAGGACACAAACATGAGTGTTCAAAGGGAGGATGTTTTTCAGGGAGAAGCACAGGCCTACGTAGAAGCACAACCCTTTGACATAAAAAAGACCTATTCATAAATCTAACAAGAGAATGCTCTGTAGCAGGAGAAGAAATCTGGCACTGATTTGCAAGACAACACAATCAGGGAAAACACACAGTTCACGAACATCATGAATGAAAGTTACAGTGCTTAGAAAGACAACGCTGAAGATTGGACTACGGAGTATTCTTCATCCTTGGCATTCTCTCTGAGTGGACTTCAACTCTCAGAGTTCCTCAGCCAGCATGATTATTGGATTGAAAAAAAAACTATAAACTGCTTCTGAAGAGAGAGGGAAATCCTTACAAAAGTAATATTCCCAGACCTTACAAAATTAACCGTAACAGCCATTCAACAATGGAACAGACTGTATAGTAGGTGGTGGAGTATCCTCCTTGCAGCTATTTAAACAGGAGTTGGACGGTCATCTATCTAAAAGGTAATAGTAGCAGTTTTCTTTTACAAGTTTAAGATACAGGTAGTCCTTGTTTAGTGACTACCTCACTTAATGACCATTCACAGTTACAACAGTGATGAAAAAGCAACTTTATGACCAATCCTCACATTTATGACATTCACAGGTCTGTAAAGCAAAGGAAAGCTGAAAGAAGATCATAAGCACAGTCGCGGTTTCACTTAGCGATGACCACTTCATTTAACGGCCGAGTTGCCGGCCCCAATTGTGGTCAATAAACGAAGACTATCTGTCATTGGCTTTATTTTAGATTGTTGTTTATTGTTCTTTTGTATGTCATTTGAACTCCTTTGGGGAGGGTGGTGTATAAATAAAATTAGGAATAAAACAAATAATAATCATTTTATTGACAAACTCCTTGCACACATACCAACACCCAGCGTTCGAATAAAAACCACGTTGTTGGCACCACTCTCCACTGACTGGAACCGACGCTGCTTCTGTTCCGTGGAGGTTCGAATCTGATCCACTTCTTTTTTCAAAGCTGCTTCTGCATCATCTTCATCCTCATTCTCTTCTTCTTCCTCATTCCCCGAGAGCCTGCCCTCCTCTCGCTCTGCAAACTTGGCACACGCGTTCACAAAGCATTTGAAAAAGTACATATTACCTGGAACATGTTTACCTCTTGAGCCCATGGAAAAATGCCCATCCAGCTTGTCACAAACAAGTAGAAAAACAGGCCATTTGGGATTTGGATATTTTAGGGTTTCAACTCCTAGCAGCCTCAGTCTGCTTGGCCAAAGGCAAAGAGGTTGGAAAAGCGATTTTCCAAAATAGTTGCACGAGATTGTACCCATCATTCTCTCTCAGCCTTACCTACATCACAGGGTTGTTGTTACTGAGAACACTGGGGAGGGAGCACGATGAGCTCCCAAACCAAAGGAGAGGTATAAATCTTCCAAGTAAATTAATTATTTATATTATTTATTATTTAAATCCATTTAAGACAAAGTATTAAAATAAATGAATTGAAATGAATTGTTAAAATAGATTTCTTAAAATAAGTTACCACAATAAATGACTCCGAATAAATTATTTAAATTTAAATTAATTATTTGAACTTTATCCCTTTTCCCCACCACGGGGCTCTGCAGAAGTCGTGGGACTACATTTCCCAGAATCCCCACCGGCCCTTCACGGAGTGGGAATCCTGGGAGTGGTGGTCCCAGTCTTCCGGGAGGCCCCGCACGATCCCGGAGCGGCCCCGGGAGAGGCAGGGGGGGCCGGGGGGGGGCCGCCCCCGCCCCCCCCCCCCGCTCCCAACCTCCCCCCCGCCGGCCAGCCCCCCGCGCCGCCCCGTCGCC